AGAGTCTCATATTCTGCATTAAGTCCCTTGTCTTGCATGTCATATATCAAGTCCTTTGCCAAGCATCAAGCCTTTGTAATCATACCTCAATAAAGCCATGCTTGCCTTTACTTATTGGTGGCAGAGAGGACATTTTAAATCACTTCATTAGGACTTGATCGAATCTGGAATTAGGATTTACTTTTTTATCTCCTCTGATTAAACATGATCTCTTTGTTGTGATCAATTCCAAGCCTCATTCTTCTCAGGGAATAATAAAATCTATTTCTTGCATAGTTTACCCATATCACTGAGCCTAAGGAGGGAACTCTATCATAGAATAAGTGTATTTTCAAATATATTTTCTTCCAGTTTAACTTTTTGTCTTATCATACTCTATTTGCTTTTAAAAATAGAAGAGATTAGGGGCATTTAAAATGAGGATTTCAATGGCAAAATCCCATTTAGAAGTACATTGTATCAATTTTGACATTGATCATGGGATATTTTGAAAATTGATAATCTTAAACAAGCCTACTAAAATTTAATATTGACCTGAAAATAACCTGTCCATTCAATAAAAGTGAATTACATACTTATCAGCTGATGGTTTCTGATACAATTTGATGAATCAAACAAATGTCATGTCAAAGTGAAGTACCATCAGATAAATGCAGGCAGGGAAAAATAGATAGCAAGATTCTATCATTTAACAAAGTCAGTTGTATTTACTCCTTGTACCTATCAGTCAAGCAGATCCATACCCTTTGAAAGAGCTTGATTTGGTTTGTACTCTTTAAATAAGGGATAATCTTTTGGTTTGTTCTCATCCAAGTGTTATTTCACATTCAATCTTGAAAAGGGTTGGGAAGATTAACAAGTTTGAATTGAATAAGATCACACACCAATACTGTAAAATCCTCTGTGGTCCTAAGATGGTTGACTTAATGATGTCATAAAAAGTTGCATAAAAAACTTAAAACTTCTGAAAAGTTGCACTAAAAATTACAAAAACGAATGTCATTTAAAATTAAAAGTGAGGTATTATTCAAATATTGCACTTAAATTATAAAATCCTAAAATATTTCATAAAAAAGTAAGAAAAATAAAAATAAAAATCATTAAAATTTACAAAATACTAAAAATGCATATAACATAAAAAAATCCACAGACGAGCGCTGACATTTCTCATAAAAGCAGAATTTACCTGAAAGGGAATCTAACAGACAGTGTATTAATTCATAGTTTAACACTTCCTGAACCTTTCACCTATATTCAATATTATTGTAGATGATAATTGATAATTAAGAAAACACCTGATATTAAATTATGAACATTTTGTACTCCAATTGTACTCCTGTCACATTTTCTTTAAGCTTCAATATTTGATAAAGTATGATTTTTGTAATACCTTTATATTTCAAGATATGAAATAAGGTTTTTCTATATTGAAAGTTCCACTAGTATAGAAATCAAAGCAATAGAAGGATGGTTAAGTAAAATGAATGTGTTCTAGTTAATTAGTTGGTTGGTTGGTCAGTCTTGGTCAGGCTATGTGTTGCCTCAGTATTAGTAGCCACATCAAATACAGTAAAACCTGTGTATAGAGAACATTGAAATGTTCACTTGAGGTAGGTGTTCACTATAGGGATGTACTTTAACATGGGAGTCAATTGGGGAAAAGTTTTAACTCGAGAGGGGTGTTCACTAACATAGGTTTCACTGTACATGGTACCTTGTGTTTGATTTTTCTCCCTTCAAAGAGAGATTTTTTCATGTAATTATTGGCTGTTACCCTAAAGGTAACCTTTGTAATATATATCCCATTATCTCCTGTAGGAGATGCCTCTCCGTCAGATGTTAACCTGTGATATTTACCCATAATTTTCAGAACAGAGTGTTATATATGATGCCACACTGGCTTGCTTTTCAGTAGAAAGCCTATGATGGTGTTAATGTTAAATGCATATAGCAAAACAAAGAATGTTTTTTTGAACTCATATGACTGTTTGCTCATTTTTCTGGTTTTGAAGGATTATGTTTCCAATGATTAGTAATTTTGACATTTGGTGGTTAAAGTATCTTTACCTTTTAATTGTCAGAATGAAAACACCCTTTATGCCAAAATTTATAATCCAGAAGCTTTTGCGGTCTTTTTCTGTAGCTCAAGTGGTAGACATGTAATCGGGAGGTTGTGAGTTCAATTCCCATCAAGGTTGAGTGACTTCACATCAGTATAGGATTAGCATTTAGGATCCTTTGTTTAAGATAAATATAAAAAAAACATTTTCCTGCAGAAATACTCTGGTGAAATTAATATACAATCGCAGATAAAAGTACCATAATTGAAGTATCTAGCACCCAAACCCTTATAAGTGCCCACAACCTTCAAAAAACAGCAAGAAATGACCATGTATTAACAAAGAATTGCCAAACATGAAATTCCAAGTGAGTTTAGACTTCTTTTCTATATGGGCGCTTATTAGAATGGTCTGAAGGGGGTATTAATTACAGAGAATATGGTATGTAGAAAAGTAGATTAAGGAATTAATTGTATTTAAATAATGCAATTTGTAACATGATGAGATAGGCATAGTGTTAAGTGTTTCATCAAGGGATGAAGAAGAGTGAATTGATTGTAGGAACATGACAGGATTTATCAATGACATCTTCATTGTTGAAATTTTGTTAAAATCTTGACTTCTAGTTAGTTTGTGAAATTAACGAATTCAAACCAAAATATACTATTAAAACTTTGTGAATTTTAATCGAGGCTGGGTAAAAATGTACATGTACAAGTATAAATGTTATTTTAATGTTTGTTACTGTAGTAGTTAAGTTTGTTTTTTGTATATACTCTATATACCCTATATGAAATGAATTGAGAAATAAATGAACAAAACTATAGATAAAAATAATTGGGCTGTAAGAAATGGCGTCAAAATGGATAGGATTTTGGAATTTCCTTACATATTCACAATTTTGGACCTACCGTAATTGGTACCCTATTTATAAAAGAGTGAATTGATTATGAAATATGTAAAATTAACTTAAGTCATTCTTACTTATCATTACTTATCCAAATAGAACAATTTTTATAATATTTGTTGTTTGCTTGCTATTTGAGTAATTGAGTAGTATTCTTTATGGAAAATTATAAATTTTGGAACATGAACATGCAATTTTTGACATTTAGCTAGATTTATAAGAAAACATGTGACTCTCAACTTGTTATAAGTTAAATTACCATCGATCCTCTCTACATCTAAAACAAAAAATTTGCATAGATTGGATTAAAATGGTCAATCTAGCGCAATTTAGCAATTTTAGTGAAAATCTTTACAATTCCGCTTGTTTCGCATACAACTTAAACTATCTCCCTATTTTATCTTTTATATACTGTACTATGAATTAGAATTTGGATGGTGTTTGGATGAAAGGTATACATACATTTATTTCACTGTAGAGGGAGCTACTGTAAGTGATGATGTTCAACCAGGACCCTCTCAGTGTGAGTCATAGGATAAGACAGTAACATTTTATGTTATGATGGTATAAGACAGGGTTGTGTTATTCGTGTTATATTGTTACAGTTATTCATAATATGTTAACACAGGATAAGACTGTGCTCAGTTATTCATGTTATGTAAATCCAGTTTTTCACATTTTGTTATATGATAAGACTACTCACATTACATGCACATAAGACTTCGAATTTTGAATATATCTTTAGAAGTTTTGTTCCACATACCAGTTCCTTGATAAAGATACAGAAGAAGATTGACAAATTTTTAATAACTGAACTTGTGGCTTATAATGCTGGTCTGCTAATTCGCAACATATGTTTTTGTGGAAATAAATCATTAAATTTGATGAAAATAAATAAATAATATCTGAACTATAATGTGTTGAGCTGATCTATCTTTACATTTATGGGATTGGACTTATATTAATAGCATCTGAAAATACTGGGTGTTCAAAAGTTTCTTTACAATTAAAATACAAAGTCTGTGTAAAGTGTAAAGAGACTTTTTGGACACCCTGTATATCTCATTAATTTTTTTTACATTGCCCTTACCTTTTCAGCCACTCCCAGGGAGTCAAATGAAGAAAAGCAGATAAAGGAATTAGCTGATTGGGCAGCTGCTTAGTTCACATGTACTTAACATAGTTCATGTGTACTTAACACAGTTCACATGTACTTAACATAGATTAAATGTACTTAATAAAGTTTACACGTTCTAAGGGCAGCATATACGTACTGAAAAATCAATGGTCCTTATCAGAAGTGACCTGTCAAATGACCAGTTGTCAGGCCCTTAGCTCAAGCCCTGAGTATTGTTGTTACAAAGGATTCATTTGTTTGAGAAATATGTCAAGGTGGTCTATGTCCCTCTAGCTCTGCTCATGGGATGCTTCCATGTGTTTCATAATAATATGAATTGACTGCTAGGATTTTGGCATTTCAATGCATTTGAAGTGCTGATTACATGACCATATTTGGTTCCTAGCTATTTTATGTTAAAAATATCATCAACAAGAAAACAAGGGGCCCTTTGACATTTTCCCCATGAGTTCATATGTTTCAGTTGTTTTTTAAACAATACTAAATAAACAAACATATTGATTTTTATTATATTTCAGGTTTAATTTTACATTGTTTAAATATATTTCAATTGTTGTTGTTTTACAGTTGTTTCTTTCATTCATTAAAAATGTTTTTAAAGCTATCAAATGTGATATAATATGAAACAACAGATTTGAAACCATTTTAAAAAAAAATCGAATCTTGAAAACCAGGAGCTTTTACAAAAAAATCCAAAGTCAACTCTCATGTCTTACCCTTGGTTATGATGATTGACGAAATTTTGCAAAAGTTTCTGGTTAGAACCACTAGAAGATGAGTGTAGGGCTTTTATGTATTTTGCTGTATATATGTCACATAGGACTTTCTCACTTTTAAACACTTTCACTGACCTTCCTACAGCTAAAAATGCTTACAAATATGTTTTGTTTTACAGCAAAATCAAAGGTGGAAGAGGATGATGAAATGAAAGAACTTGCAGCGTGGGCCACATAGACCTCCTTTGCTTACTGACAATAAACCCTGCAGGATGTGGTCATAAAAGAGGAGGTGATATCCCAGATGCCCCAGCTTTACTCATCAGATACTACTACTCATAAAGCGCTATATTTGGAAAGATTTCCAAGAAAATCACTGTGCCATTGGATATTATGATAAAAATATTTGCAACAGAACAAACTGAAATCTTCATAAGGTGTAACTTTGATAATGTTACACCAGTAAATGACCTATCAATACAGCCAATGACATTTCAAATAAAACCAACAGTAACCTGTGTTTGCAGTTACACAAAAGACACGGGCTGTCAAAAAATGTATCCTCCTCTGACCTGTGGGTTGATTCCTTCAAAATATGCCTCCTCGTCATATTGTATTAAGTCGTTCATCTCAAAACATGTGCAATTTCATAATACCATTTGCTTTTAATTCGAAGCATAGAGTTTATTCTGAACTAGGGTTTTAGACTTAGTCTCACATCCAGCCTTCGTGTCATTCCCACTCCCTCTATATTCCATTCCATCTCTCTCACAAAGCATGGTCATATTTTGTTTATAATTAAAGTATTTTAGCACAGCATTCAAAAGCTATGGGTTACATAATGTACTACATGTAGTTTCTTGTATGCAGCCTATATAAAAACAAAGGTGATGGTCCACGTTTTTTAGATGAGCATGCAAGAAAGTTGTCGTGTACATATTATGTGTTAATTCTTTAAGCACAAATTAAATTGATTATCCTGAAAATGTTTTTTTCAAAATTAGATACATTATTAAAACATGTAGAGTGGAACACACAAGCATTTAATAAATCTTATTCTTTTTGTCTCAAACACAAAAAATGAAAATAATGCATAGTGGGTTAGGATGCGAAGGCTGGTTGTCAGATTCGCTTACTCATCTTCATTACATGGTTCAAAAAATATTCGTGTGACCATGGGGGCATATTTTGGAAGGTGCATTCTATGCTGTTTAAATGAACATGTATATGAATATTACAGGCCAATCTGATATATTGTATATAGAGTCTTATATAAATAAATAAAAAATAGTTAAATGAAATATTCTTCTTGGCCTGCTATTTTTGAGAAGGACTTGGGTGATAAAAAGCTCTTCTTCATGATTCTCTTAAAAAGGACCATGAATTATATAGGTAGGATGGACCCTGTAAATTCTTTGAAAACTACAACTTTTTATAAAGGTTAAATTAACATTGATTTTCATACAAAGGATTCTACATATAATTTAATTTACCTTAACATCAAGAAATTGTAGTTTGTGACGATCAATTTGACTTTCTCAGCTTGTTTTAGTTGATTTTTTACAATAACATGTAATTTATTATCAGTTGTAATACTGAATGATTGGTTTTTGACACAACACAGTAGAAAAAAAATATCTTATCGCCTAATAAAACTGAGCAAACTTTTTACTTATACATATCAATAAATTGAATTGAATTGAATATCATGAAATGTTATGGAGTTCCAGGTTATAAGAATTTCACAAATCCCTGGGGATTTAATTGACAAGTTCGCAAAGATTAACTTTCGCGATGGTGGTAAATTCTGTGCCCATGCTATAAAAGCAAGAAAAGTGAAATGTTATTTCAGGTATTGAACATCTGATTATCAAACTCAAAAAGGTATGCTGAAATTTGATCCAATTATCTATATCTCAAGTTTAGGGAGATGTTTATGTATACTTGCGATGTTATCTGTCCTGAGTTACTTACTGCCACCTATGTTATTAAAGAATGTACTAAACACTCTAAATTGAATGCAACAAAGTTGGTCAGTTCATTTGAAATTTAGAGTGGTGATGAATAATCCTCCTATGGATGGACAATTTTCTCAAAGGGTACCATTAGTAAATATTATAATTACTACAGTGACACCTGTGTTCCACTTACACAGGTGTTTCACTTGACACGTTTAAATGTATATTAAAACAAGTTCATAAACTCAGAAAGTAGGTGTTACAATAAGTTAGAAGTGACCCATTTAAAATATGTTTAAAAAATACAGAAAAAGATTTTTTAAGAAAATAGTACCAATTATTAGCCTTTCTACAAAAAGCCAAGACTAGGGTTATATAATAATAATGTAAACTAAATAACAACAGAGTAGACAAATCTTTCATATAGCTTACAGTTGTGATTAAAGGAAGAATCTGATCTATAGGGGGTGACAAAATTACAAGCAACATGTATAATTGACCTACCAATCTATTCCTTACAATACCAAATACAATATCTCCCAAAAGATTCACAATATGTTATAAATTGGTGAAGTTATTTATGATTCAAAGTGCAAAAATGGGTGAAAAATGTTTAAATTCTCCCAAATAATAAGAATGGTAACCATTCTTATAGAAAAATAATACATTATTGTAATAATCTTTAGTTTTCCTGGAATAAAGTATGCACTTTTGTGATTTTTAGAAAATAGACATGACAAGGAATGACATGAGCCAAAAGTATTCTAAAATTGAAACAATTTTTTGTTTAGCCTTCTCGCTATATCTGATTCTCTCTTTAATTCTGGTATGTATTAAAGTCAGTATAAACCTGTATAAGTGTGTATTTTGACAATTTATTCAATACTAAGACACCAATTTTAAATGGGCTTTCAAAAAAGAAATAAGGTTACATTGTATTTTATGTACATAATTGTATAATGTCTTATATATATACATTACTGTCAATATTTAAAGAAATAAAAGTTATGAAATGTACTCAAATGATGTTAGATTTGATGGAAGATTACAGCAAGGGCTTATTTGATACCTGGAACTTAAGTTTTGTACGAAATGAAACGAAACTACTGTATACAACACCCAGGGCTTTGTATGATATTCATTAGACAATGGTGCATATCATTGATTGGTTGAAAGAATAATATATACTAGTAGTAAAAAGCTTAAAACACTGAAATAGCGAACAAGGCACATTCACTACAGTGAAACTTGTATATCGGAACACCTATCCGAACATCCCTCAATACAAGTGTGACCACTTTTTTCTCGGTCCCAATTTTGTCATTGTGATACTCAGGCCATCTCTGCTTTGCAAAGAATAACTGAAAATAATATTTGTCAACATATTTCAGACTGAATTTGAAAAAAATATCACAAAATACTGTAATATCCTCTTTGGCTTAAGTTTGCACTGGCTATTTCAAAATTGGCGTCACTTATTTTTGGATTCTTGCCATGCTCCTAACCATGCTAGATGTTGTTGAATGTTGAAGAAGTTGTGTATTGTGTTATGACTTTTAGAGGTTGTATAGTCTGAATCTCAATGTAAACAACATGATACATGTCGGAGAGACAGGTGGATTCATTTTAAATTATAACAGCAGATCAGTGTATAGTGTCTATCACAACCCCCCCCCCTCCCTTTCATAGGTTTGGTAGTTGAAAGACCCTGATTGATACTGTTAAAGTTACCCTTCTTATTCGTTCACTTTGCTTAAAAGAGAGCTTCGTCCTCACTTTTAGTTCAACCTCTGCACTCAGGGTATGTTAAAGTCTGTTTATGTTTGAATATCATAGATTTTGTTAAGATTGTCAAAAGGTATGGACTTTAAATTACACATAAAGTTTATAGAACATGTGGAAGTTAAACTCAAACCACTCCATATAGGGCCCATGGGCATTAAAATGGATATGTCTCTCTAAGAGCGCTGCATGCATACTTGTAGAAACAGCAATACTTAAAATTACTCCTGATGAATTACGCAAAATTTTGCGATATTAAAGAATTTGTTAAACTCAAACCACTCTCTTTAGGGCCCATGGGCATTACAATAGATGTCTCTCTACTAGGAATGCACACATAAATGTATAAACAGCAATACTTAAAATTGCTATTGTTGAATTACACTAAATTTTGCTATATTAAATAATTTGTTAAACTTAACACCTTTGGGGCCCATGGGCATTAAAATGGATGTGTCTCTCTATGAGCAATGCACCCATACATGTATACACGGTAATACTTTAAATCAATCTTTTTGTAATTCATTGATTATTTGCTATATTACAGTAAATGAATTTGCTTATAAAGTAGCGAATTATTTCAATTTAAACCCGCACAGGTTATATTTTCCAGCAAGGGGCTTTGAAAACATCGGTTGCTCTGGCTATGAACTTAAAATGATTAGAAGTCAATGATCTGGCTATCTTGTTTAAGGGAAATATTGTGAATGCTCATTTGTGGACGGTGCCATATAAAACTTTATGGATAAGGCCTTGATTGTATTGTTTGCCACGGATTTCATTGAATGGTGTTTTAATTAATTGCATTCCTTTTCTATGCATTACAGGAAGCCCTTGCTTGTTGGTGATTCAGAATCGATGATGATATGTCAATCCCAAGGACTAAATTGCACATTATGAATGATGAATGATCAAAATCGTTTGATGTTGTTTTGTGAGGTCATGTGATGTCACAATAGGCTTCATCAACAAGGGAGCCTATCGACTCCTGAATGAGGAGCCAGAGATATGTGAACTCAGGTTAGAGTACCATATATCATGTTAAGTAAGAAGAGTGAGAATCGAAAGTCATCCAAATAAACTTTATCTAACTATTTTCAGCTTTTTAATATAATTTCTGACCACTTGGCTCATTCTCATTTGCCTTACCAGTTTGCATCGAAGAGACTTTACTCATATCACTTGATTATATAATCGTTTGCATCTTTGTAGTTTGCAGCTTTTTTTATATATCATATTGACATCACACCTTTTTATTGTCTTCTAGCCAAGAAGTTTCAAAAGCAGAGTATGGACACCATTCTCTACTTTCAAGCAGAACCATATATACAGTAATCGATCAAGATTGATAAAGATAACGTGATTTATCCAAATAATCTGGCTTGGGCAGATAAACAAACCTAGTGAAATATAATAAAACTAAAATGTAATTACTTTTCAATGAATATGATACAGTGAAACCTGTCTTATTGAACACCTGTCTCTCATGGACAACCTTCCTCCGCATATACTCTGTAGTGAACACCAACCAACGCTGAACGTTTTTGCTAGTCAAAAATGTTCAACATACATAGGTTTTACTGAACATGGAAGCTAGTACTCGTTTGGCATCATTCAAAAAGATTTGAAACAAGCAAAAAAATAGAGTTGACAATCAGAGCATTTTTTCTATTATCTCTCACATTGCCATTTTTTATGTTTTTCAAAACCACACAAGGAGTAAGTGACTGTATATTCCAATCATATCCAGTACTGCCATTTACTACCCTGCGTGCAGAGTCTAGTTAACTAGACGAAGCTCTCTTTTAAGAAGTGAAGTCAAACGAATGCAAAGGGTAAGGACCAGTCACCCTTCGTAACCAACTACGTCGCTTCATTTAATTACATGTTAAATTACCTCGTTTATAGAAGCGTATGGCCTCGCATTAATTGCATTTCAGCCCATTGAAAGTACTTAGCTATAATACCCAATGGTGCCAGTCAACATAAATATTGCTTGTGTAAATTGTTTTCGTTTCAGCATATAGATTTTTACCTTTAACAATCTCAATTACTGCGTTATCTCCATTACTTATGTTATGAATATTAATGGTCAACGCATCTGTTGTTGAATGTATTATTCTATCGGCATATGACATGACACCTTAACCAGGAGTCTAGTCTTGGCTAGTCAAGGCTGTGCCCCCTCCCCCTTGTGTACTTCCAACTTCCTAACACACCACATTCACATTTTATGAAAGTAGAAGGGGTTCGGGATAACTAGGAATTCGTTCTAATGAAATAAGAAAGTAGAATCCATCAGTTAAATTAGTTCATCGTGTTAGTGTAAAACTTATGTGTATTGGAGTACTCTTGCTTCAAGTCTTTTTTCTCAAAAAACGCGTGCCTGCGTGCGTGCGTGCGTATTACATAAGAAATATTGTCATCAGTACACGCAGCAAAAAATCATCCGCCGAAATGCAAATGCAAATGCTGTCTGATGCCAAGATCACAGCATACTGAGTCATTCACAAGGAGACCATTTTACTCTTCAATTGCGATATTTATCACTGCGTGCCATGTTATTTCTTTCGTTGTCATTCAGCAACCCCGTTTTTGCCGTGTACATGCAGTCACCTTCAGCATGATAAGCGTGCACAATATGATTTGAAAAAAATGGCGGAATAACATTGAATGATGAGAACAAATATATATTGTAAAATTGTTACAGATAGAAACTACTCAACTCCTCTTTCATGTCTCTATCCCTTCTACTCCCTGTTTTAGTTGTACAATGGATGGATTTTTCAGTTGCGCATCGTCATTATTGCTATTGCTTTTTGGGAATAGGGAGTCACTTAATAGAAATAGCATTAGGATAATTGTCTGTGAGTATTTGATTAATGAAGCTGGGATGTCGTGAAGTCCAGAGGGCCGCTGAAAAAATAGCCCGTGTCCCTAAAGAGCTTCGGTGAAAACACCGCAAAAACAATTATCAGTGTAGGATCTTTCAGCCTAGGATTAGTGCTCAAAATATCGCGCAGGATCAATCCTCTTGAGCTTCTGAACATATCAATTCAAAACAGATCCTTTCCATTCCTATATCTTAAGTCAATAACGTACCCTTTCAGCTCTTTCTGAGTAATTCTCTAGCAGAACTTTTTTTGATTAAGGACACGGTGTAGACTTGTGTGAAATCAAGAGCGACGGTTTTCTTTTGACTTCATGGGCGTAGGCAGGTACTATATTAGTATGAGGCAAAGCTCATTCAAATCTTACAGTTGTATATTTACAATTCTTTTTATAAAAATCTGTGAAAATGAATTCTTGTGGTAGTTTTATACTTCATTTACACAAGACTTGATTTGCCTCAACTATTTAAGATTGCCTCGCCTTTAAATGTAAAATTGCCTCACCTATTTAAGATTGCCTCGCCTTTAAATGTAAAATTGCCTCACCTATTTAAGATTGCCTCGCCTTTAAATGTAAAATTGTCTCACCTATTTAAGATTGCCTCGCCTTTAAATGTAAAATTGCCTCACCCATTTGAAACTGCCTTATCTATATAAAATTGGACGATGGCTTCAATCTGATATCCATCGCATCTTTCAACTTACTTTCAACTAGCAATACTTTCTACAAAGAAAGTAATAGAATGCCATGATTTTTCATGATAGTACTATGATAATTTGTTTTATCATTATTATGCGGCAGTTGTTATTTAAAGTACTATACTTCTAGCACTTGTTTTTGAGCAGGTACCGCATATAGTTTGATTAGACGTAAGCTTCAGGCAAATTCTAATTAACTCGAATGCCCTAATGCGATTTTATGCCACCAATTCTGGAACTTAGACCCAATACGTACGTGATATATCATTCTGACTTTCATCTGAACGTTACATGGTTACATCTTACCCCTGCCAATTGATTTTGCATCTTAAAAGAGAGCTTCATCTACATGACAGGTTCTATTCAGACTACATCCTCGATCCGTCTGTATGTTAACCCATTAGTGACACATTAGTAAACCTCAACGACAATTCAAATGGTAACTTTTAAAATATGGTCGTATAAAGTTTCCAAGTGCTCCATAAGTCGTGCCTTAAAAGCTTGGGTCGTTCCAAAATGGCAGCCATTTTGACTTCTTTCCCTGTGAGCCCAGTACCCATGGTACCATTTATTTCAAAATTATCTTGGAAATTAATAACCAAAAAGTTAAATTGAAGACGAAAATGAAAATTAATTTTTGTCCCCTAATCCACCGGATGTATTAACACTAAAGACAATTAACATAAGTTTAAAATGAAGAGGGGGATTAACCCCAGAGTTCAAAGATGACATACGCTTATAATGTAAATCTGTATTGAGATGACATACACCTCTGATTGGTCCAAATCGATAAACAAAAATGGCGGATTCAAATTCTAATAACGCTTCGAATAATATTATGTTGCAAACGAAGGTGGTACGCAAGAGACGTATTTTGTCAGTCATCGCTAAAGCCCTGGGGCTTTCCCTCCTCTTTTTAAAATGCCAAGAGTTGATACTTCATTCAAAATGGCAGCGCGTAACGTTAAAACGTAACGATGTTCTGTCGTCCCCGCCTAGAACTGAAGAGCATCGTTTTGTTGGCTGGTTTGAAAAGTTATCGTAAAAAAGATATCAAAAGATGTTATCACTCAAAATTAAGTGGTATTATATTGCATTTCTCTTTTCCACCTTTATCGCCAATTGTCGATGCGAAGAAGTTAAAACAGGCTTGGCCATTTTTACTTTGTAATCGACCAATCACTTAACTCATTCAGGGATGTTAAGCGAGTAATTCACTGCACCTGGAGAGTTCAAAACATAAGCTGCAACTGAATCTGACTGGAGAAAACTTGCGCTGTTATCGATTGGTTGAGAAAAATAACCAATAATATGATAAGGTGTCGGGGTCACTCTAACTGATGATCAGGGGTCGAAACAGTTTGATCTACCGAGCTGGGGGAACACTCGCAATTGGAGAAAAACAGTCCGTTAGTATAGTTAAGTTCGTTTATAAAAATAAGCGTTCTGGGATGTTCAGAAAGTCAGTTTTGATATCTTTAACGCTGTAGGAATGATTGTACAAGTTCGTGCTTAGAAACTAGTGATTTTCATCTTGTTTTCAGGCGTTTATTTGATAAGGGATTTCTCATTTCCCACATTCGCTTAAAATTGTATGATTGAAACATTGTAAAAAACAAAAACTTCAACATTGATGACATGAAAAAATAACCGGGAGCGAAATCACAAATGCGAAGTCTAAGTTCAGGTCTTTTGAAAGTGACCCCCTGGAGTACTAGTTCTTCCGGTCATTTTGCAAAGTCAGAAACAAGAACTTCCCGAAGGAGATAAATGCGCTGTATTTGAACACCAACGGTTTATAGGACTTAAACGAGTACATTAATTAATGAACTACAAATAAAGATAAGGAAAGCATGGATAATATTTCAAACTGAGAAACAATACACCTTAACCAGAGAGTGATTAATACTGATTAATTTGTGATTAACGTAAAATATTTGGATAATGCAACTCGATATTAGGATTAGAAAACATAACCCAGAGTGGAAATACAACAGCATAGAAGCAGAAGGTACATAGAATTGTTTTTTATTAAAGGACTCCGTTTTTCACTCTGACCCCATATATCCCAATTTTTGAAAAAATACAAAATTACCTGCAGTTTACACCATCAATAGACATTGATAAACAATTTTCTGTAAATACTGAAGTTCGAAAAACCTCCATTGCACGCACAGCTAGAAAGAAAGCGATTTTTTGCTTTATTGCCACAGTTCAGCAAATGTTTTAGAAAGGAAAATACGCTTTGTATCAAAGTATCGATGTTATAGGCTATTTTTTCTTTGGTGTGTTTCAAAACCAGAGTTGGTGGTCCTTTGGAGCACTTTAAGTTGGTTTTGATGAGTTTGTATTTTTACAAAAAAATACTATTTTAAAAAATTTAAAAATACTATTTTAACCAGCGCACGTGTTTAAATGTCATGTCAGATCAAGTAAATCATTTCCACATGGCAACCGATCTGTCGATAAAGAAAAAACATCAGTTCATAAACTGTAAAAGTCTATCGGTATCAGCTGTTATAAAAAAGTGATCATTGGATCATGGAACTGTTTTTAAGATATTTATTCTTTTCAGCTTTGGAGTATACATTTGAATTTGATTATTTACGATTGTACAAATGTTTGTCGTGCTTAATTCGTGACATATAGAATTAAAAAATCGTCTTCTATCTTATTGTGAATTGTTATGTTGGAAAATGAAAAATATGTTTGCATATGACGGCCGATCTTATTGTAGTCTATTGTCTCTGACGAATCTATGCGAAATTGGAAAATATTTCTCTTCATTCCATTTAAGCAGATTAAACTCTGTTAAATCTCGAAATTATGAGCAGCAGTGTATTACTGAATCAGAATTTGTGGAATCAGAAAAGTTCGAAATTAAAAGATCATCCAAACTCGCCCCCAAGGCTATTTAAATAACATTTCCGGAATCACAATTATTCAAATACTAAGACAGCTATCGCAATAAATTGCGATATTACTTATGGTAATCGATTAGCGCTAGTATTTTAGTAGTAATTAAAAAAGTTCATATTGACCAATCAAACAAACTTTCTGATCAAATATAACTTCCCTTTCATATTATAACAGAGAGGCATAATAATTTGTTTGGTCTTTATCGAAACGTCACTGTTCTGATACGTCTTTCTGTATTTGCCCTTTGTGCACAATTGCTATGGAATATATATTTCTTGCTCGTATATAATTTTGCTCGTTGGACTTATTTTATTGTCATATTTACAAGGTGGTCGTGTCGTAATTATTGGGAATGTATTTGCACGGGTGGGATTTTTTTGATTTATGACCACAGACCTTTAACCAAACTCCTAACACGTGGCCTATAAATTATAATTGAGATATATCGGTCTTCATTCTCTGTTTTCCTCGATATTAATTATGATTAGATACACACCAGATCTAAGTACTAGACAGCCAGATAGCTTATAATTATGTACGATCTTCCCTTTCATCATTTACATCTTCCGTCACACTCCCCCCACTCTTGCACAAATATTTGTCCTCGGTAACTAAATCCATGAAATCAAGCTACACTTTTATCATCTTGCGGGATTATGAAATACATTGAATCGTCTATAACTGTTCGAAGAGGCAAAACAATTAGTGAACATAATTGTTGACACCTATTAAATTTATGAAAATGATTACTCATCTATAAGAACCATTGAAAGAATGGACTTATCAACGAGCGGTACTTAATAACGTTTAATCAAATATACTTTTTACCCTGCAACAAAATGCCATTTATACATCTACTCCTCTAACAATAGTCTAACCACAATCCATAGTATCCTTGCGATGCACGCTCCTTCGGTTAAAGTCACCTGAGGACAGAAACTATAAAAGAGCAATGATCATCATCCAATCGTATGGTACGACCTTGTTCAACAGTATACGACATGCTTCCGGTCGATGGTCGAATAATCACCATTGACAAACATGCCCATACATGCATCGATTAACTCATTCTTTATTCATTTAGAAATGGATTGGCACATCTGATTTTTTCGGTAAACGTTGATGGAGTAGACGAATCATGCATTCGATTATAATGCATTGATGGCTATAAGATGAAAGGCAAAATACCCAAGCTTAAACATCATCCCATTCACCTTAACCAATTCGCCACTTTTCTCTTAAATTTTGAATACAGCGTCTTCTTTATTTATGAATACAACTGTTATTCATATTTCTGTTTAAATATTTCCCTTGTTAACACAAATATTTCGTTCAGTGTATTTTATTGCCTGATCACAATTCCTGTTGTTTTCTTATTCATAGGAAGAGCTCAATAGGTTGATATTTCGATACTCTCTTATCTAGTGAATTTACGACAAATCACTTCCCTGCATTAGGTGGATTACCATCGTCTGATTTATCCGCTTCCTTCCTCTGAAATATCAGCATAAACCACTTGATATCAAATCACATAAAGTTTACTGTTAGAGCCATACATTAAGAAGTTGGATAAGTGCTCATTCAACGTTTCGAACGTAGAAACAACATATACTAGTGGTTTTTTAAAAATAGATGAATGAATATATAACTAATGCCAAATATCAAACCCATTCTATGTTAGTTTACGTTTAGGACCCCTTTTAGCAGAAATTAAAAAAAACATGAACAAAACTAGAAAAAGGAAACACACATGAGTGGAGAAACCCAATGTACAAAATAAGCTTTTCCAAATTGATATGGGACGTTCCGTGATTTTGAATAGACCATGCTTTAACAGTAGTTCATAGTTCAGTGAATTCAAAATGCAACAATGATTTTTGACAAACATTATTGACCTCTTTTCATTGGGACAGATCTTGCCAAGTTCTCCGAATCATCGCATTCGGGCAGTCATCTTGAACCTTACTACTGAGAAGGAATCTAGCTTGGTGATCGTACTCGTAGTCTAAAGAGATCATATCAACGAACAAGGGCGACCTTTCGTGCCTCATGATGGTCAGGCGGAACACTGTTATAAAATATGTGTAATTGAAGTCCCCAAGTCCCATACTCTATAGTCAGATTTTTAACATATGCTTCTGACGCGGATAACAATGCCTCGTGAACAAGAGCGGTTAAGGTCTACTATGTCAATCTAAGTTAATTAGATCTGAGATCTTATTGCTGTCTTGTGATGTTTCAGTGAAGATAAATAATCCAAATGGATTTACAAAGACTAAACCGCTGTAAGCTTGTGTTTTAATTACGAATCAAATATCAAATACAAGAGTGTTACTTCCTCATACATTCCGTGTATACATGCAAGGAAATGAACAGTATCTATTTCATTTTTATTTTTATTGATATACTGTCTGTACCTTTTTATCAGTGTTTATATCAATTGTGTCGTTTAATTTCGATTTTTAAATGGTAAAAATTAAAATAGTGAGATTAAGGATATTGGGGGCTGTTGCTCTTATGACTGTTTAAGCACTTTTGCTTATATCTTCACATCTTCATATATATATATATAAACACATATACATGTAGGCCTATGTCATGATCGCATTTCCATAAATTTTGTCGCCAAGAAAGGTAATTAACGTTTCAAAGATGACGTATGTCAATGAACTACTGTTCAAACGGAAGCGGGGAAGGCAGTTTCTCAATGTACGTTGAACCGAATAGCGGCTGGTCACATAACTGTGACGTAAAGCAAATTGGAGCAACCGTAACGACGAAACTATTATGTAATAACGTTGTTCATTATCATATGGTGGTCATGAATTAGCTCCTCATTAATGCGAATGTCTCATGAACTCCTGACGTACAAAAAGTAATGGGTAAGCTTACAAAAGAGTCGAGTGGGTAGGATAAATATGAAGTCCCTGATATATGATGATTTTTGTTAATTTCAGGTTAATTTGCGAAGCACTCTGACTTGTCTAACAGCAGCATTACATAAATGCGAGTTGGAAGATTTGGTGAAAGGCGCGCATTTCCTAAATAATATGACAGCAGGTAATAAAATGTAGTTACAAAGACAAACATCGAAGCACACGTCTTAGAAAAGTCACACCCGGGGTCACACCAAGGAACAATATGGACTTAATACATTTTAGCGTTACCTATAAATTGTAAAATTAGGGTACCGCACTTCGATTTTTACAATGGACAATGTAGACACTGACCTTTCACATCTTGAATTGAGTGATTCTATCGATGATGATTTTGGTATACAACAAGCATATGGAGGGAGACAACATGGGCCGTTCTATATGCCATACCTTGCCCGTGCAAGACAGAGATCAAACACATTCTCTACGCTTCCCTCTCCAAGGCCGGCCCCAAAGGCAAGGCGCGGGCTTGACCAACACTCCCCTCCACCCCAAAAGGCATTTGCATGTCGCCCCCATAGGACCCAACTATCACCTACATTTGAAACGGACTATAGCTTGGAAATGCGTCCGAGAACACTCAGTATGCCAAATAAACAAAATCGTCCAAACTTTCTGGATATAACTCAAAATTATGATACTGCTGAAAAAGATGTTGAATCGAGTGATGTAACAAATCAAAAAGAGGATGATACTTCTGAAGACATTGATGAAGTATATAGAGTTAGAACATTTACAACTACGTCAAAGGGAAACATTCTCTCGAGTGGTGATGCTTTTAGAAGAAGGAGCTCGAGCTCTGTATCTGCTGATAGTGGTCACATGTCAGACGATTTCCGTGGACGTTCATCAAGTTCCGGTTCGAATTCCCGCCAAGATTCATTAGCAGACGGCACCTTCAGACGTACTAAATATGCTCAAGGTCCAATGCTGGAAGAATTCAGACGACGGACTTCAAGCGGGGCTTCCTCAGGTTACAAACTGCCTTTCCGAAGGAGAACCTCAAGTTCTACTTCTCGTGGCTCTCACTCGAGTGGGTACCTCTCCGCAGACGACTTCCGGAACAGAACGAGCAGCAACGCCAGCAGTTGCTCCTCCGGTGCGGTGTTCTCAGATGTCCCTTTAACCTCGTTCAAAGTGATCGTTCTTGGTGCACCGGGCACCGGCAAAAGTGCACTTATCAATCAGTTTATGACATCTGAGTACATGGATGGATTTAACTTCGACACAGGTAACATGCAAGTAATACATGTAAAGTCTAATCAGTATTTGTGAACATTTTCCATTGAAACCGTCTAATGGTAAATTTGTGTGGTTCTTCACTCAATCTTTGCTCACCAATTTAAAGCCTTGCATATTCTTAAATTCTGACTACGCAACTGCTTGTTTTAGATGAACCATTGTTAAGCGCCTGTTGGGTCATTTACATCAGGAGTAGGACATGAACAAGAATCTCTAAATTCAATGTTTATATTCCAGAATCTGGTTCTTCGCAGACTGTCAGTGTGCTGCTGGACGGCGCCGAGTCTTTGTTGGAGTTCCAGGAGAGCGAGGACGATAGGGTAAGTGCACTTATACATGTAATACAAGATAGTAGGGAGTTTAAGCTAGCATTATAATAAATAATCGAAACGCCAACCTATACGTATGTCCAATCGCACATACTTTAATGCATCGCTTCAATATTTTCCGTTCACGTTTAGGTTGTGAAAAACATTGCACGCTTAAACTCCCTAATCCCTGAGCACCACGTATGCACTTCCATCTAGCTATTTAATTAAGGCATTAATATCACTATCAGAATAAGACTAGATTTTAGTAAATAGAGAGCAAACTCATGGTATCATACCCATAACATGTATAGACATAATGAGACGCATAGCACTCATATTCTTGTTATTCTATTTAGTACTTTGACGCCTCCGAGGAAAAAGCAGACGCGTATATCGTCACGTTCTCTATGACGGACCGTGATTCGTACCATCACGCTATAGATGTCCTCTACCACCTACGGGAGGAACACTATACCCCCGCAGTAGTCATCCTCGTGGGCAACAAGACTGATATCGTCCGACAAAGGCAGATTCTGGTCGAAGGTAAGAGGGGCAATTTTGCAACAAGCATCAATATTGTTGAGAAGGAAAAAGATGACATGGTTCACCATAGTGCAGGGATCATGAATGATAATCCTTTAATCATATGGGCATTTTATTTTCAAAAGTAAATTGTATTAGAACTGAAAAGGGGATTACACCAAATAAAGTCATACATTTTAGAAACTGGATAGGCCTATGAGGTGAAATGGTGAAAGCTAAAATTATTGGAAAATTGTGACACTTTTTCGAATTTATGTCGTCTCTATCCCTTTTACTTCACTTAATGAATATTTTGGGAAACGGGAGTGGAAAGGGCACAACAATGATGACTTTCTCCCAGAGATGGACATCCTTGGACAACTAACTTTCGATCAATACATTCCCCAAACTGAACCACAAGTCATTGCGGTGCCGCATGCTTGTGGAAGCATCTTTTATCATGTACTTCAAAGTTCTACCCAGAAAAGACTGAAAATCAAACAAGGTGCAACGTTACATGGCAGAAACCATATGAACTGACAAAACCCAATCCTTTCGATTGGTAAGACTAAGAGTCCCCACTACCCCTTATCTCAAGCTCTCTTTCCTTTACAATAAAAATGGCCTGTCTGATATATACCTCATTGCTACTTAACCTGATGACTTTCAAATCATTGTTAACATATATTTTCCGTTGAGCGAAACAGAGTCCACGCTAATGGTGATTGGACATCCCCCTTTATTGAGAATAGAGGTCCATGTTATAGATTAACTCTATGCATGAGATGGATCTATTACAAGGCATTACTGGATAGATTTTGATGCTATTAACTTAGCGCTGTCCATTGATTGATGGGTGTCCTCAACTCAGAAAGTTCGCTTGTGACGGCTCTTATGAAAAACACGAATTCTGCAAAGAAATAACATTTCATCAACTCAAATAATGCGATTACTTTTATAAGATTAGATTAGCAATCAATCATATTTTGCAACTTAGGGTAGTTTAAATGCAAATATGACATTAAGCTTGGGACACAGTCGGACACTGTCAGTCAAATCATTTTTCATTACGATAAAGATACCCAGGGATTAGTAGCGGGGGTGTACAGAGAAAATATCGGGTTAAAAAACATTTCTTAATTTCAGAAAACTTTAACGATATCAACTGATCGATAAAGACGCATGGGCGATTCCATGGAGCTCACTATGTGAGTCGACAAACGGGCTAGGAAGATAGAAAATAAGAGACGTAAGAAACCTTGATATTAATGACCCTTTACCTTTAATTTCAGAGGGGAAGTCCACGTCAAAGACCTACGACTGTACATATACCGAGATATCCGCTGCACTCAACCACAAAGTGGACGACCTCCTTGTCAGTACATTGGCTCACATTAGAAACAAATTAAAGCCAAAGGATGAAACATCTAGGAAGAAATCTGTCAATAAAATGGCTAAAGGGATAATCAGTAAAATACAATCGCATCTTTTTGTTAAAAGCGAAGAGAAGGAACGTTCCGATCGGTCCCCAAGACACGATCGGTCCCCAAGACATGATCGATCCCCAAGACATGATCGATCGCCTCGTCATGGTTCGTCACCTCGTCAAAGTTCGTCGTCCTCTCCACGTCATGGATCGTCATCCTCTCACCAGGGGTCTCCACTGCATTACAAATCCTCTCCACGTCACGCTTCATCCTCGTTCTGGGAGCGATCAGACGACTCAACTCCTGTTTATGACGATACGCTACAATGATTAAAGTACAATAACTACAAAGCAATAGTGTGAAAACGTGCTTGTAACACTAAAGATTGCTTCTAACACCCCATAGTGAAGCAGTGGCGTAGCCAGGATTTGGTGACCGGGGGTTCTATTTTTATGTTATTCACAACCCCCCCCCCTTCATTAGGGTTCCTCAAATAATGCAATTTGTACAATCACACCCCCTCCAAAAGTTTAGCAATCCTAACTAACCCATGGGATTATGTATTAAAAGCATCTTTAAGTTTGAATTCTTATTTGTAAAGAAAAAACTATTTTGGGAGGGGAAATATAATTCATTTTAATACCTTCACAGTATATGACCTTGTAGCATTGTAACTTTGATGTTCACAAAGTAAAATAAACAGGCAACGTGCAAAAAAAGTCAGACAACGTTACTTATAATTAATTTTCTGCATCAAAATATATTTCGGTGAATCTTTTACTGAATACACATCCTGAAATCTGATTTGCCCCGAATCCACCATTATTTCGTCTGATTTCTGGAAGACTCTGGAGCATGATTTGTTTCCAAGGAATATCAACTATTTCACACAATTTATTCATCTAGGACAAAGTAAATCACCTCCTGCACTGGCTTATAATTTTTCAGGAATTTTGTTGGAGTCCAGTTCGGATCAAATGCAAGCACCCTATACTCCGAAAGATCGTTCTTCTACGATAACTTTTCACAACGTTTACACGAAGGCTTTTTAAACTATCCGGGACAGTCGTATTACTGATGAAAATATCTATTATTCAAATAAGTGGGTCTCGATTATGCTTTGTTTTAAAAAGTTAAAAATATTTCTTTGGACGTCCCCGGAGCTCAGTGGTAAGTCCCCCGGAGCAGATCAACATATATAAATACAAGCGACTGTTCGAATATAAAACGTATTTTGTTAAGTTCAGACGGTTTGATAACAAATTAGGCCTCCATTATTTGAAGATTAATACCTTATGATTTTTCAATGTTTTTTATTATATGTAATTTTTTCGCTAAACATATCATGACATTAACATGAAAATGGAGAGCAGTTAAACTGGAACGATAACAATTTGAATTCTTTACCATCTCTTAGATGAGTGGAGTGTATCTGAAATTAACATGACAAAATGTCACCACCTAAAACAATTTGGTCAATTTAAAGCAAGTTGGAAAATACCTTTTGACCTTAAGAAGGTTTGATTTGAACTTCTGAGAACATGTAGATGATTTTGAAAAAAAATTCGTCAATTTGAAGCAAGTTGAAAAAATACCTCTTTGACTTTTTTTGACATTGAGATGGTCATTGAAGGTCAATTGTAAAGTCAGATTTGAACTTCTGAGAACATGTAGATGATTTTGAAAAAAAAATTAAGTAAATTTGAAGCAAGTTGAAAAAAGACCCTTTTGACCTTGAAAATGTCATTGAAGGTCAAATGTCAAATCTAAAGTCTGATTTGAACTTCTGAGAACATGTAGATGATTTTGAAAAAAAAATTAGTCAATTTGAAGCAAGTTGAAAAAAGACCTTTTTGACCTTGAGAAGGTCATTGAAGGTCAAAGGTCAAATCTAAAGTCAGATTTGAACTTCTGAGATTTTGTAAAGTCAAATTTGAACTTCTGAAAAGATGTAGATGATTTTGGAAAAAAAATTTGGTCAATTTGAAGCAAGTTGAAAACAGACCTTTTTGACCTTTTTTGACCTTGAGAAGGTCATTAAAGGTCAAATCTAAAGTCAGATTTGAATTTCTGAGAACATGTAGATGATTTTGAAAAAAAAAATTAGTCAATTTGAAGCAAGTTGAAAAAAGACCTTTTTGACCTTTTTTGACCTTGAGAAGGTCATTGAAGGTCAAATGTCAAATCTAAAGTCAAATGTAAAGTCATATTTGAATTTCTGAGAACATGTAGATGATTTTGAAAAAAAAATTTAGTCAATTTGAAGCAAGATGAAAAAATACCTTTTTGACCTTTTTTGACATTGAGAAGGTCATTGAAGGTCAAATCTAAAGTCAGATTTGAATTTCTGAGAACATGTAGATGATTTTGAAAAAAAAATTTAGTCAATTTGAAGCAAGTTGAAAAAAGACCTTTTTGACCTTTTTTGACTTTGAGAAGGTCATTGAAGGTCAAATGTCAAATCTTAAGTCAAATCTAAAGTCAGATTTGAATTCCTGAGAACACGTAGATGATTTTGAAATTTTTTTTTAGTCAATTTGAAGCAAGTTGAAAACAGACCTTTTTGACCTTTTTTGACCTTGAGAAGGTCATTGTAGGTACGGTCAAATGTCAAATCTTAAGTCAGATTTGAATTTCTGAGAACACGTAGATGATTTTGAAAAAAATTTTTAGTCAATTTGAAGCAAGTTGAAAACAGACCTTTTTGACCTTTTTTGACCTTGAGAAGGTCATTGAAGGTCAAATGTCAAATCTAAAGTCAGATTTGAAGGTCAAATGTCAAATCTAAAGTCAAATCTAAAGTCAGATTTGAATTTCTGAGAACATGTAGATGATTTTGAAAAAAAATTTAGTCAATGTGAAGCAAGTTGAAAAAAGACCTTTTTGACCTTGAGAAGGTCATTGAAGGTCAAATGTCAAATCTAAAGTCAGATTTGAACTTCTGAGAACATGTAGATGATTTAGAAAAAAATTGAAGTCAGTCTAAACAGTATTTGTTAAGTTATAGGAAGTTGTAAGAAATTGTTACAGACGCCGGACGCCAACCGCCGGACGCCAACCTCCAACCGCCGGACGCCGTCGCAAAAAAACGGAGACCATAACAATATGTCACCACTTTTGGTGGTGACATAAAAACCAAATCATTTTTTTGCAATGATTGATTTTTCTTTGGAAAAGTGATTGGTAAATACTGAAAGAATGAATAAATTGAATAAATGCTTGTGTGTCTTGTAAATGATATTCGCTTTTAAATAATTCATTTCACAACGTTTTTAATTATTTAACGCAATTGGTTTCGGGGACTTGCCAGCCCAAGGGACTTCCCAAGAAATATTTTAAATTTTAACTGAAATAAAACAAAACAGAGATGTACACATTTGAAGGAACATGTGTTTCATCAATATTACGACTATTCCAGATATTTATTCGTCAATGTTGTAAAAATCATTCGGAGTATGGGACGTCTTAGCATTGTTTTCAAGAACTTTCAAGAACTTCAAGAACTGGCTTAAAACAAAATTCCTACGAAGGACTGATTTAGCCATTGCCCAAGATGGGTTATTTTGTCCAAGAAGAAGCAGCTTTTAAGTTAATTGTGTGAAATTATTGTTATTTCTAAATGTAAAATCTCATGCTCTGGGGTCTTCCCTAAATCTCATCCCGTGCCTAAGGTTGCCAACAGTTTTGAGGGAAGTGTAACTTCACTATGACATGTTTTTAACAAAATAAGGCTCTCGTGTTCACCAAAACAAACATCAATTCATTTACTGCTCATATATGTAGTTTTCAAATAGCACAGTGATTTAATGTTTCTGGTTATATGCATTTTTCCGCAAAATGATATTGTGGGAAATCCTGACCGGGGGTTCGTTCGAACCCACCGAACCCCCGCTGCCTACGGCTATGTGAAGGGACAATAAGAAGCGATTTTCAAATCATTGTACAGTAAAAGCATTTTATGTGGAAAACCCTTGAAAATGAAACCATGGTCTTTCTATGATGAAACTAAGTCATATAACTTAAATATACCCATTAATTACAAAGTGGAACACTTTTGAGGTACAAGAGGCGTTCCACTTGGGCAGGTTTTATTGGTAATTCATTTGTAATGGGAGATCAAATACCATGCCATTCTCAGCTCTTTGTTCAAAGATACTTCCCAAGCTACATGTATTCCATATACCGTACCTGCCAAATATTGCCAAATATATATTCTAAGTATGAACAGTTCAAGTACAGGATGTATAGATTTTGTTCTGAAATGCAAAACAATCAAAATGTACTGAGATTTACAAAACAATTAGTATTCTAAGTACAATGTTTTACGTACCTGAGAGCATTTTATATCAAACTACCTCGTTGCAATGCATTTATATCAAACTACCTCGTTACAATGCATTTACACCAAACTACCTCACTGCAATACATTTGTAACACAATACTGTATAGCCCCATTGCCCCATTGTAAACTATTTCATTGCTATGTATTTACATCAAATTGCTTTGTTGTAATGCATTATATACCTTATTGCAACCCATATAGATAAACCTACCTCATTGCAATACATTTACATCAACTCACCTCATAGTAGTGATTTTAAATATAAAATCACCTTGTTACAAGGTACTTTGTGTCAACCTACCTTATTGCAATGTATTTATATCAAACTACCTCATTGCATTGCATTAGTAATTACATTCATTGCATTTTGTAAATATATACCTTGCTGTATCCCATGTCACATTTAATAGAATGAAGTTTTGTATAATAAATGTGTATAATGCAATTTAAGGGTGTACTAAATATAACTTTTATAAGATTTTATCATACTACCTCGTTGCATGTTTGCAATAAACTACCTCAATGTATTTATAAAAATGACATCATAGCAGACTCATTATATTGCTTAACTCAGTGCATTTCATGTTATACTATGTAACTGTAAAATTACAGCCTCTTGCATACTGTAAAATGATTTAAAACCCGCTTTTGTAGCAACACAATAGAGTAATCTGTATATTCAAAAGAATGTACAGTTGTGACAAAAGAAGAGTACATTCTTTTTATATTGTTTTCAAAGACTGGATACTTCATAAGCTATCAAAACCAGTGTGGCACAAAACATGTATCAACAGTGGAATAGTCAGACTTACAGTAGTACAGTGTAAGTTTAAATGAATCATGGATCATTTACTTTTCATAAGAGCCAGTGTGGGTTTTTAAACAATTCATACTGGTTGTTAGGTGAAATAATGGCTGAGGGCTTTAGGCTCTTGGTTCATACGTTACAAATTCATAATTTGACTCTTATTCCAAACCAAAAATTTAATTTAATAATGCACATGTTTAACAGTTTAATATTGATGCAAGTATAGGGTACAATAATCAGATACAAGACATTTCAAAATTACTGTGTGTTCAAATTACTGAGTGTTTAATATGGACATACAAGACAAAAACATGCAGAATGTGAAACTTATCACTTGCAAAAATCTTCATTCATGTACATCTTGCAAGTGGACACCCAGTAAATTCAGCGCTTATTGAGCTAATATTTTGAGACACCATGTATTTTCTATGCTGAGATTTCAAATGCTTTTGTGCGATACTAAATATCTAATAATCTATATGTACATTGTGATTTAAAACCATCTTGCTTCATGTTTGTGACACCTCTCCCAGTTTACCCCACTCTAACAATAAAGTAGATGGGGGAGAGATGGGGGGGAGGCAGAAACATGATGCAAGACTCAATAAACATTTTCAATTTCATATTAAATTATTAATATACTTTTAATTAACACCATGTATCATACTGAAAATATAAAATAATTTATGAAACAAAACAAATTGGTATTTTGTTGCTTTTATATTTGACACTAGATTTGTATACAATCACTATAAAAACCTTTATGCTGTAGGATTATGAATCTGAAAAATGGCTCAAATACAATATGTATATTTCTTTGACGCCCTCTATTTGAGATACATGATTAGGGCAAGAAAAAATTTTGGTATACATCACTCATTTGCTCTATACAGGTACGCCCCATCATTTGCATTGTTCAAAATAAGAAAATTGGGAAGATGGTGATAAAAACACCTTGATGAATCTTTATTCTTTTTTTACTTGAACTCATATTCTATGACTTTATAGCTCTCATATAGATGATCTCTATTTCTTGAGATCGTTTATTTCATGATTTGCTCGAGAATACATTTTGGTAAGTCACACACATTCGCTCCATACTCCTCTTCAAGTGCTGGAACACTATGGCAACAACAACTTGCTGAATGTCTACTCTATTTTACTATAAATCCAACTATTACTTTATATTTGCTATGATTTCTGTGTAATGTAAGCATCATAGAAAGTGTCTTTGGGAGGGGGTTTATGATCAAGTCCTACTGCATCTTGTACTGAAGCAAGCCCTTCTTTCCTGAAATAAAAATCAAACATTCTGAACATTAAAACAATTACACAATGCTTAGAATTTATATGACACATTATCTTGAAGATGGCGGCATTAATTGGGAGTCTTTGAACCTGCATCATTAATCAACAATGCAACATGCAAAATGTCACCACCTGCCATTTGTTACAGACACCAAACTCTGAACGCCATCCATAAGAAAGTTGGAGACTATAACAATATGTCACCACTTGTGGTGGTGACATAATAAACAACCCATATATTATCAATTATTACATTTTATATTAGTGATTCTTCAAATGTTGGAAGCAGTTTTTTCAAAAAATCATTCTCAATGTTTGCTCACAAAATTTAATCCTAATTTTACTTCCTTAAAACGAAGCGAGATTTCTGGTGACGTACAGACGGTATTGAAAATTTAAGATGCAAAATGTCATTCTAGTGTCCCTTTTAATACTCCATCTTTATCTATCTTGGAAATGTGCAGCTGAGTTAATAAGCATTTACTTGAGTATTTCTGCTAGTTCTCGTTTCACTTTTCCAACGATAGGTGGCCCATGATAAGTCAACGCTGTGTAGAGCTGGACCAATGAGGCACCGGCACGTATCTTTTCATACGCATCAGCCCCACTGCTGATCCCTCCGAGTCCAACTATGGGGATTGCACCTGAAAGCACCAAACATTATATGATTGAACCAGATGATGTTTTTAGGCTTTAATAATAACAGAATACAAATTTGTACAAGGCATTAACATGCAAAACGTCACCACCTGCCATTTGTTACAGATGCCAAAATTTGTCACAGACACCATACTGTAGCAACAAACGCCATGCATAAAAAAAGTTGCAGACTGTAACATAAAAATGGATCGATGATTGATAGTTACATTACAGATAACAAAAAACAAGGTTGAGTCATTAAAGTAAAGTGTGCCAAATCTCAGAGCAATTTACCTCCATTTAAGAAAAATATAGAAGAAATGGAGGGTTGCATTTTTTGGATCACCCTGTATCAATATACGAATGAATATTACCATCAGTTAGCTTGTACATATCACTAACAGTCTTGGTTGCCAGATCTTTGAGAGGTTTCCCACTAAGTCCCCCTGTCTCTACTTTGGCATCAGACTGCACTGTAGAGGGTCTGGATATTGTGGTATTACTGATGATTAAGCCATCTACTCTGCTCTGTAACAATACAACAACAAACATACCAAATATTGTAGAGAATAGTGAGATAGATATACAGCCAAAAAACCAAATACTGTACATTCAAATACATGTTGTGAGGTAAAATAACCATGTGACCCAAAATAAAAATATGGTGCATACCACCGGGCGCTACTTCTAATGCTCTCCAATAGTTGGCTAGATCTATGATGTACTTTGTGGGCACCAATTTTTCATTTGAGAACAAAATTGTCAAATATTTTGGAAAATGAGCACTTATAGCAAGTTAATTCTACTCCTGCTCTGAAACTGTGAGAATGACATTATCATCAATATCAGGTGGCATTAATTACTCGAAATTTAAGGAAAGGTAGTGGTCAAGACTTGCAAGGCTGAAAGTTGCCATGTGCGAATACCGTTCCAGGTGGCAGGGTCACTATATTAATAACTATCGAGAAAACTACATAAAATATATAATTTCACCATGAAATTAATACACAAAGTAGTTAAGTTGTTAGGTCTTTATTATTGGAAAATTTAAAGTAATTTTATCAAAAACCAACAAAATTAAAGCAGGGCGTCCAAGACTTTTGAATCACCCCTCGTATTATGTCATAGTCACATTTAATCTACGGCAGCTGTGCAACAGCCACAGGTTCCCTAAATCGAGAGAAATATGCAGCATAAAATATAACCGTACGGTTGCCATATAGCAAATGTGACTGGTCTCTTTAGCTACCTGCGTTTTTGTAACAACTTCTGCAATATCCTTCTGGTCCTTTTCTGTAAGATCTGGTGCTATTTTGACAAGTAGTGGAGGTTTTCTGGCACATTTTAATTCATTACGTTCTTTTACCACCTAGAAACAGAAATGTATAAATCAGTGTATAGAAGAAAAGTACTATAATATCCTATGTGCTCCTCAGATATGATATATATTTCATTGTGTTATCTAACCAAACCCATCCAAGTATGAAATACAAAAATACATATTCTTAGTTAATGAAAACACAGAATGAAATGGAATGGCTGGTGTGAACAACTCAGTCCACCCTAGTGGGGATTGAACCCACAACCCCTTGCCTTTTGGATGATTTTGCACCAAATATCTGGTATCCCTTTACCTTAATTCATATCAACTTGGTACAATATTACCCTCTGAGGATAACAGATGATTTTATAATTTGTTCCTTAATTATCATTCATACTTGTCAAACTGAATTGTTTGATCAGAATAAGATTTTATTCAATAGCAATTTTGATGACTTGACACACAAAAAGGATGAGTGAAAGACACACAAAAGGATGAGTAGAAGACACACAAAAAGGATGAGTGGAAGAAACACAAAAGGATGAGTGGAAGACACACAAAGGATGAGTGGAAGACAAACAAAAAGGATGAGTGGAGGACACACAAAAAAGGATGAGTGGAAGACACACAAAAGGATGAGTGGAAGACACACAAAAGGATGGGTGGAAGACACACAACTGAAGGATGAGTGGAAGACACACAAAAGGATGAGTGGAAGACACACAAAAGGATGAGTGGAAGACACACAAAAAGGATAAGTGGAGGACACACAAAAAAGGATGAGTGGAAGACACACAAAAAGGATAAGTGGAGGACACACAAAAAGGATGAGTGGGAGACCCACTATATTATTATTCATATTCATCAAAATAAACAATATTACTTTTTCTAGGAGATCCTTCAATTGTTGTTTGCCTTGCATATCCCTCAGGCCTGGTGTATTGGGACTAGATATGTTCACTACAAGATAGTCAGCTAATTCTCCAAATCTACGCACACCTTTCACATAATCATCTGCAGCATCTGGTGATGTTTTGTTCTTCCCAAGATTGATGCCTAGTATACCCTTATCTGGAAGAGGAACAGTGTTGATTACAGGGTACTAAAATCTCTATTTATACCAGTTTTTAGTCTAGACTCACATGCCAGGTCTTACCCTTTGTGAAAATGTTAATTTTTCTCAACTTGTCTTAGTCTAGATATCAAGAACTCGTCTATATAAAACCCATTTGCCAGCCCAATGAGAGACCAGAAGCGAGACTATGTTTCCCAGCTTAAAAACAATTAACAATCTGAAATACTTAAACAATGAAGCTTCTCAAGCATTTCTTAATAGTGCTCATTGTACACACAGAGTTGTGTAATGCACAACCATATAATGCACTACAATGCACTACAATACACTGATGTGCAGTCAAGTTATAGTGCAGTCACGTAATACAATCATGAATGACACATCCATGTTCTTATAATGCACTTTAACCATGTGGTAAGCAGCCACATAATTAAGTTGTTTTAACTCTGTAATGCACTGCAGTGTTCTTCCATTGAAAGAAATGTCTGTTGGGACCACTCAGGACTTTGAAACATGAGTAGCAGCTACATGAAATTAAGAAAATCATGAAAAATTGTAATAAATGTTAACATATTTTGGCCAGAATTTTTCCACAATTGAGGTGAAAAATCCTGGGCAAGGGAGAATACCGCACTGTAAGCATAACAACCATAGCATGTAGCACTTAAACCATAACAAGTAATGCTCTGTAACCATGACAACCAAAACATGTAACGCATAGCCATTTGCTTCAAATAGCTCATCTCAGCTTACCTGGCTCAGGTTGCCAGATTGGGGCTGGGTCTTGGAGACAGAAGTTCTGGTTTAACATATTGTTCTCATCACTAATGTAGTGAGAGTGGTTAGTCTGGTTTATGTGACCAATCGACACATCTGTAAACACCCACAGGGTCAGATATATGTCAGATATATCACAGAGACAACTAATTTGTGTTATACATTACATATAAATAGTAACTTTTCACCAGTTCACACTACTGTCAGAAATAGACCGAACTCCGATAAAAATTGTTGAGACATTGCGATAAGAGTGGTAGCACCTACCTAGGGGATTGGTTTTGTCCTGCCTTGCTTTCAGTCTATCATATACAACATCATGGCCATCACTGTTGAAACCATATCTGAATGAAAATATGGACTACCTTGAAATATTCAATCCTCTTTTTCCAACTTACAATGAGATTTTTGCAAAATGATCATATAATATGTACTGAGACTGTACATCCTATTATAGAGGAAAATAAGTAAAACATTCATACGTAAGTGCTTCCAATGATTTTACAAAGACCAAAACAAAGTGTATTGTCAAAATTCAAAATGACACATTTAAATAAAAAATGCTGAAATTTTTAATGATTACTCAGCATGAATACTCCAAAAATATATGAGATCTATATTGCTTTAGCATCAATAAAATTTTCAAGTTAAACAGTTTTCTTGCTAAGTGCAAAACTCTTATTTTATTATGTTTAAACATTAATTAAATATAATAATTATGCACATGAGCAGAATTGATTACATAACTTATCTTTTTCATCCATACCTATTTATTACAGCTTCATCCTCTGTGAGACGAAACACCCGAGGTTTGGGGTTTCCAGGTTGTGGTTCAGGGGTTACACTCCCAACCTCTACAAATCCAAATCCCATCTTGAGAAGACCATCAACTGCCTGTCCCTGCTTGTCAAAACCAGCTGCAAGTCCAACGGGAGAAGTGAACTCTTGATCCCATACTTTGGTATGCTGAAATATTAGTGCCATTAGTTGCATGTTCAGCAAGTGTCACCAACTCTAAATCAACCTAAATCCATGTGGAAAGGGAATATGGTATAATGGTACATGTCACATTATTTTACGCTTAATGGCATGGGGAAATCCTAGAAATGTTGCCAAAGTACAGTAGTGCAGGGGATATTTGTCCATGTACAGGGCGTTCAGTAAGTAAAGCTAATTTTGCTCTCAAACTTTTATTTCTTGTCTATTATCGTTCAAATTTTCAGTGGGGAAGCATCAGACTTTTTTCTAACTATCCTGAAAAAATGATCACGATATAATGAATAACAGCAAAATGGTGGTTGTCATAGTAACGCGAATACGGGTTCTGCGGAGCAATTTTATAAGTTCACAGCATAGTAGATTTTGTTAACGTTAGTTTCTGTCCTGTCTATATTTCAACCATAGTTCTGTGGCTACTCCACATTTCTACTTTCAAGTTAGCATTCTATTTCATGTTCAAAGTAGTTCCCCTTAGCTTTCACACACAGCTGATGTCGTTCTATCCACTTCTGATATATCCTGTGGAAGCCATCTGGAAAGTTCTTTGTCAGCGAACATTGAACGGCATTCTGAAGCTCATGGATATTTGCGTGGATCTTACCACGCAGATCATTTTTCAAACATGAAAATACTCCAAAATCGCACGGTGCTTTGTCAGGAGAATACGCTGACTGGCCTTGAACCTCCATCTCCAGCGTTTTCTGGATAGTATCCTGCACCATTTGCGACCTATGCGATGGCGCATTATCTTGATGGAATATGTAGGAGTTGAGAGTCCTATGGGGCCTCTTCTTGCGAATCGCGTTCACAAGATGGCGCCGCAGCACCTGAAAATGAAATGTGAATTTGGTCATTTGATGTTTAAGTTAAAATGTTTTCTTTGTATTATTTCAGAGGTAGACCTAGTACTCAAACCAAACTAATTATTAGAAAGATATATTTCATAAAATGTAATTACCATGGCATAATATTCCTTGTTAACAGTCTGCCCTTCTGGCACGGCATGAGCCAACAATGGACCTTCGATGTCTATAAAAATGATAAACATGACTTTCCCCGCTGATGCTCCAAGAGCTAGCTTTGCAACGATGCCCACGGGTGTTGGAGAGTTCTTTGTTCGCCACGCACTGTTCTGTCTTGTACTATTTGGCTCAAAGTATCGAACAAAAGTTTCATCACAAGTGAGAAGATTGTTTAGAAAGTCCTCTCCCTCATCTTTGTAACGGCGCAAGAATGCAACTGAATCTTCCAGGCGATTTCTACGCTGCTCGTCGGTCAGATTCTTTGGTACCCATTTCGCAGACACCAAGGACATATTTAGAGAATTGTGAATCAGATAATGTACCCATCCTAGGCTGATATTGGTTAGTTCTGAGAGTTCCCTTACAGTTATACTGCGGTCTTCATCTAACAATTGCCTCAAATGATTCATGTTAGCCTCTTTGGTTAGAAGTTTTGGCCTCCCTGACCTTGGCTCATCACTTGTTGTTTTTCTCCCCTTTTGGAATTTCTGATACCATTTGTAGATTGTGTACTTAGGCACACTGTCCCCATATGCTTTTTGGATATCCCTAATGGTATCCTGCTTGGATTTCCCTAGCAACACATTGTATCTGATGCTACTTCTCAATTGTTGTTTCATTTCATTGTTCATTTTGCTTCCATTGGCAATCCTGGCAGCCATGATTTTGATGATGTCATGGAGCAGTGTCTGATGGATTATTCTGGATCATTCCATCTGTTGTATCATCTGTCTGTGATGTCATAGACTACTGTTGCCATGGTATCATATTTTTGTATGTTGTTGTTATGTTTGTCGTGACTTTCAGCCATAGCAAACAAAGACATATGCAGCATTAATCTTAATCAATTTCTTAATCAATTTCATTGCATTATAACATTTTTATTAAAGTAAGAAATTGCTCCGCAGAACCCGTATTCACGTTACTATGACAACCATTGTTTTGCTATTATTCATCATATCTTATTTAATTTTTCAGGGTAGTTAGAAAAAGGTCAAATGCTTCTTCACTGTATGTGCATGTAAACCATACAAACAGGAATGAAAAGATCATACGGCAACCCTCTTCCCAACCCCTACTCTTTTGTAGTTGAGTACTTCATAAATGTTAAAGTTGAGACACTTTGCACTTGCATACGTCACACAAGATGGTCTGTCTAGTTTACATCCATATATCAAAACCATAAGTACAGTTCATGTAGCCTATTATCAAATAGAACAAGGCATTAGTGTGTAAAAATGTCACCACATGGTTGCAGTTACAAAAGTGTAGGCTTAACATTTGTGTCAGATGCTGACTGCCAAACAATGATGCCAATCACCAGTCACAGTGGCTATAAAAATATATCACTTCTTGTTAGTGATATCTCCCTCGATCCCTCCCTCCCTCCCTCCATCTAATTCTTTTATTTTATTCTGTGTATAAATATCAAGTGCTTACCAAAACATCATGATTCTGTTTCTTCATGTAAGGGACTAGACCATGTTTGGCACAAAACACTGCAAAATTGTGAGCCTTTTCAGGGTTCATTAAGCGACGAAGTGTTGGCATAACCCATTCATCATAATATTTCTCATTTCCTGTCCCTATCGCCTGAAGGATAAACAGGGCAGTGCCTCCACCTATAACTATGGCGGCATCCCTATACCGTTGCTGGAAAAGAATTATCATAGTTATTCTGAGAATGTGACATGAAAGTGGCCATAGGCCCAGGAACATGTATAATTAAGTGAGTTTGAGAGTTTCAAAAAAGTTTTTTCTTAGGAGACCCAGACTCAATTTTTATACATGTTTACGGACCATATTCAAGACAACAAGCAATTACAAATTGTGTATATCCGACCATTATATGCTGTTCTTCGATGTTCCTTGTTCTTATTTGGATATTTATTTTTTATTGTTTTCTTGGCATATAGTCTACCACAGTATGCAAGAAAATAAAAAAATATCCAAATAAGAAAAAATAACAACAAACAGCATACGGAGGTCAGATTTATATATGACTATTCCACCAAGACTATCTTAAGCAGTAGTATATTTGCACTTATGGACGACGAAATAATAACATGATAGAAATTAGAATACAATAATTCCATTAGAATTGTGAATGTCGACTTTTTATAAAAATGCTTTTCAAAGGTCAAAATTTGCAAGATTTGAACAGGGGGCCGCTGTCTTCTGTCTTTGACGTCGCAAACGAGAGCGATTTGGCCGATGCGCTTTCGATAGCCTGTCTCCCCACATAGGAGCAGCCGCTCTATTTGTCGCGTCATTGTTGAAATGACGCGATCGCGCTAAAGAATAAAGAATACTGAGCACTAAAATACTTGCTACTTGATCAATACTGAACCAAATTCTATGATTTTTGAACGAGCATGTTCCTGATTATATATTCTTTCAGACCGTATACAAAATAGGAATGTTCTCTGTTTATTCTCTCTCGTAGCATTGTGTAAACATGGACTGTCCACCTTTCTGACGTGATCATTTACGATGCGAGTCTTCACTTCACACGACTGTATTTCTGTTAATACTGGATATTTTATTAATATTTTTGTTAATTATTACTTTCCATATATATGGGTAACCAATTATCGAAAAATAAAATTTCAAAGCAAAGTATATTTCTTCATCAAGGCGTTTAAAGTGTATTTACTACAAGATATTTTTCGTTTTCACGTTACATTTTCCCGGGAATTTGGGCTATTTTTAAGATTGTTTCTGTATTGTTTGAAAACAAGATAGTTAACATTTTGTAAGACATAATAATATGCACATAATGTAATAAAAGTACTAAAGATAACATATATATCTTCTTTCTTTTATTTGATGGTAAATATGTTCCCGGGAACGATATACACGTTCATGTAAAATAGTTTCGTTCATCGCACATCCTCTGCTTCACTCATACATACAACAAGTACGTGTGCATTTCAGTGGTGAGTATAAATTCTTTTTTTATTACACACCATGAACATAACCGTTTAATTAAAAACTATGACAATATGCATAACATATTTATGTTTTGATTTCATTAGTTATTCATTTAAGTCTATGTCAAATACATTCATCATTCGATGTTTTAATTTGCAAATTTTGAAATCCGAAAATTTGCCGCGAAAATCCATTTAGGGCCTATATTGCACTACGTTTATTTTGATGATACAAAAACACTGCGACTGTCTTTCTATCATACTCATATGCTTATTTTAGTATATAGAGCCTATCTACATATCTAGACTTAGAAACATTTGTCAACGACGCTATTCGTTGCTATGAACAATGATGAACAGGGGGAGCTATCGGGCAAGTTCAACTGAGTGCATTCTAAGAAATTGGGATTGCAGGAGTGACATCTATAAATCGATAAAGTAGAATTTTTATATAGCCTAGTTGTAGTCATACTTGTCTCAATGACACATTGCCAGTTTGTTGCATTGCATGTCAGCTTTATGTCTAGACTAGTTGATGAACATTCCCTTGCTTATATTTTGCATGTATGTTTCATTCTTTATAATAGGCTCAATTTAATACTAGGCTAATGTACAATAGTTTGCATGTACATATATGTCTTCTCCAGCAGCCCAACCCATGGCACTTAATATTTAAATGTGTTCAATATTTCTCTACTTATAATATCATCCTAGGGTCCATTAAATAGGACCTACTTATGCATGTAAATATACAGTCAAAGACATAGCCGAAATCAACATAAATGATAGGCCTATTATTTATCTTTTCAGAATCATCACCACCCTCTCTGCCTGTCTACTCTATCTTCATCTGCTTTGTCACTCACCCGGTGTCACTCTCACAAGCCTACACTTTCACTTTCACTCATTGAGGTAAATATATAAACAAGATAGGTGATTATAAACAATGTTTGTACACGACATATTATTTTGAGTTTATTAACAATAACAGACATAAATTGATATTATTTTATCTTTTCAGAATCATCACCACCCTCTCTGCCTGTCTACTCTATCTTCATCTGCTTTGTCACTCACCCGGTGTCACTCTCACAAGCCTACACTTTCACTTTCACTCATTGAGGTAAATATATAAACAAGATAGGTGATTATAAACAATGTTTGTACATGACATATTATTTTGAGTTAATTAACAATAACAGACATAAATTGATATTATTTTATCTTTTCAGAATCATCACCACCCTCTGCCTGTCTACTCTATCTTCATCTGCTTTGTCACTCACCTGGTGTCACTCTCACAAGCCTACACTTTCACTCATTGAGGTAAATATATAATCAAGATAGGTGATTTTACATAATGTTTGCACATGACATATTATTTTGAGTTTATTAACAATAACAGACATAAATTGATATTATTTTATATCTTTTCAGAATCATCACCACCCTCTCTGCCTGTCTACTCTATCTTCATCTGCTTTGTCACTCACCCGGAGTCACTCTCACAAGCCTACACTTTCACTCATTGAGGTAAATATATAAACAAGATAGGTGATTATAAACAATGTTGGTACATGACATATTATTTTGAGTTTATTAACAATAACAGACATAAATTGATATTATTTTATATCTTTTCAGAATCATCACCAAACTCTCTGCCTGTCTACTCTATCTTCATCTGCTTTGTCACTCACCCGGTGTCACTCACAAGCCTACACTTTCACTCATTGAGGTAAATATATAAACAAGATAAGTGATTATAAACAATGTTTGTACATGCAACATATTAGATTATATGTTTATTTTTTACAATATTATTAGATATTACACTGTGTTGATTTTATAAATAAAAGGCATAAAGTGGTATTATTATTTTATATTTTCAGAACACTCTCTTGCTCTATCTGTATCACTACAGCACTAGGCTCCAGTTCTCATCACTTCTCATTTCTTTCAAGGTAAATATAGAACAAGCTATGGCTTATCATAAACCAACATTTATATCTCTGACTTTGCTAATTTATTTTGCAATATTAGATCTCATGTGTTTAGTTCCCATACCACCCATATTGTTCTGGCACTTATTCTGTGGAGTCTTCGGATTCTTCCTCACAAATACCTCCAATAGCAAACCAAAAGGTCAAAGTAAACTGCCTGAACCGATATTACCATTTTGGGCTTTTTTTAAATTCAGAACAAATAAACACCACTCCAGATCAGTTAGGCCTATTCCATTGAGAAAATGCATTGTGCGTATGAACCTTAACAGAATCATGAGACTAAACCAGTGGAAATCAAAGGTCAAAATTCCTCCCAAACAAGACAAGTCTGATTCAATTACCTGCGATAGTGAACCACGGGTAGGCCTTTTGTTTACATTAGTAAAGCACACCAAACTATGGATTCTGCGCCTAATCGATACATTCAGAGAAATTATTTGTTCTCCTAGTGCAGTATTCTATCTTGCCCTTGATGTTTTGATACTAGGACTTCGCCAATACATCAACAGAGACATTGATGACACCAAAGAATTACTGAAATACAAATGCTCTTCTTTTGAACACTTTCTCTCGACCATCCTTATCTGGATACTATTTGTCACTGAGTATTTTGGAATGCCACGAGAACTACAAGTCATAACAATTTTGATTTTGTTCTGTGTAATTCTGTACAGGGCAGTTCTCCAAACGTTTCACATAGAAATGATGTGTTTGTTCTTCACAAGTGCATTAAACTGGGTCTGTCAAAATGAATCATATGATACAATGTCACTCTTTTTTGACACAATACTCATAGTATTTATCAGTATTAATACCTTCTACACTCAGAGAAAGAAAATATGCCTGTTCTGTAAAAAGTCACCAAGGGCAACATTTGAAAATAAAACATCAACTTGTTCCACCATCAACTACGACAAGTATGTTGAAGCTTTTGTTAGAAAGCATAGTCAGTCAGTGTTAGATGACAATCTCGTTGAATCTGATCAGGATAGTATTGACATCAACCAGACAATAAACAGAAACATAACAAATACAGGGGGAAGTCGATGCTGCATTTTGCACTGTACTAATGAAGGTAGTCGCACATTGAAAACGCTGAATGGCTTGTATGAAATTGATATTGACCAAAACTTCACAACTGATGATGCTGGTAATTTAAAAATCTGTAATGCTCATTATAGTCGTCAACCACACAAGCAATCTAAGCGATTTAGGCATACAAAACAAACCTGTAGTGGACAATTTACCAAAAGTCAATGTTTGCATTGCAATGAAACATACACCATAACATCGAGTGTATGTCGTAGCCATGTATTAAACATTTCTGGAAAAACGATTTCATGCCCTTGTACATATAGTATTGATCCAAATACAACTGGCAAAACTGAATCTTCATCAAGTCTTGAAATTGCAGGTTATGCCTGTTCAAAGTGCGAGTCCTACTTTCTTGAGCTCATCAAAACCTCTAACAAATTAGACTCATTAATTGATGATCTGTCCGTGCCTTTGAAAGAACAATGTTCAATATCCAAGATGTCACATTCAAGTGGAGCTGAGATAAATGATATGCCTAAATCTCCAGAAAAGGCGCAGCAGACCTCATTTGAACAGCAATCAGTTGATAAACCGTTGTTTGTTGCACAATCAAATGACCCTAACTCCACCTCCTATCAATCTAAATCAGAGACAGGTATCTGTGAGAAGTTGCTTAGTCTGCGGATTGAATCGGCCACTGATCCACTTGAATTCTCTTGTATAAATGTCATCACAGAGCTCTGCCTTTCTCTAATAGGTAAACCTTGGAGTATGGCTCTTATATCTGCAAATCAAATAAAAATGACAAAGCATGTTGATAAATTTTCCCACTTTGATGTGTACATATCCCAACTTGAAAATTCATGGAATTGTGCAATTCATATACAAAAATCTGAGATTGACAATTTTCGTATACCAAGTCACCTTACAAACAATGTGAAATCTCTGTCAACTGTAATTTCTGATTATGTTTTGCCAATGACAGACAATATTCAAATATGCACTGGCATCACAGATGGTGAAATTATCAAAGAATTTCAATCAAGAGTGAATCAAGGAAAAACATTTGACAAGTTAACTTTTGAAACAATTGGAAATCATTCAAGGATAAGAACCAAATGTTGTGAATATAAAGCTAAGTCTGTCCATACCACATTGTGCAAGCATTGCTATGAGGCTCATCGTAACACTCTTAGATATCTTCTGAGAGGCTCGGACCATACAAACATCAATACGCCAAATGTATTCCTCTCATACCAGGAAATACTTGAGAAATCGAGATCCCTGAAAAAAGAGAACATGAATCTTACTAAAAAGGTAGTTTATGCCAATAGGCTCCTACGAGAGCAAAGATCTAATCGTGTTAATGCTCCAGCTAATTTCAAGGTCAATGCATCTCAACTTGGTCAAATGGTAGACACAGCAATAGAAAATAAATGGTTGTCATCTGATTCCATTCTCTTTCATATCTTACAAGATTCTATGCTATCCCTACAAAGACAAGAAACCCAATTTGAAAGATCAAAGGGAAAATTAACAAAAGAGAAAAAGAAACCACGTCCTAAAGGTATGCGATATAGTCCCTTGACAATAAAATGGTGTTGCCGCATTGCAAATCAATGTAGAGAGAGTGGCTATGATGCAATAAGTAACATCCTTCCAATTCCAAGATGGAACACCATCAAACAATATAGGCAGCAATCATGTAACTCTGACCCAATTAATCTTGAAAACATTTCTAAAATGGTTCAGGAAATTAAACGAAGAAAATGCAAGGGTGTCGGCGGTATTCATTTTGATGAGATAATAATTAAGAAAGGATTATGTATCAATAAGCGAACAGGAAATTTAGTAGGTTTTGAAAACTTGAACATTCCAGAAGAATACCTTTGCAACATCCATGAAACCCATGAAACAAAATCCTCTCAAGAATCCTCCCAAGTAAATGAAGAGTCACAATCTAGTTCACAATCATCTCATTGTTTTTCCACACAATCTTCAACAACAGATGATCAAACTATCCCTGAAAAAAATAAACTAGCTACCATGATATGTCAATTTTTCTTCACCAGTATTGAGGGAGATTTTTGTTGGCCCGTAGCTTCATTTCCAGTGGCAAGGGTTAACCATATGAAAATTGATGCAATGCTATGGCAAGTGATCCAATGCCTGAGTAAAATTGAACTCAATGACAAAGAAACCATGCAAATTCTTTATTCAGTCTGCGATGGATCTGCATATTCACGTGCTTTTTTTAAAACAGCAGGAAATAGCAATTTTGTATGTCCGAACCCATATAATGACAACAAACCAATTTACTGGCTTTCTGATTTTCCACACTTGATAAAAAGACTTAGAAATCACCTAATCTCCAGCAATAGACATATGCATTTTGATGGCCATGATATATCTCCATCCTTTATCGTGGATCTCATAAAAAACGACAATACTATGCTGAAGTGGAAACACATTGTTCTCAGTGCGCGCACTAAAATGAGTGTAAAGCGAGCAGTTCAACTACTTTCCTATTCAACCAGTGAAGATTTGGCTGAACATTACTTCGATAAAACTATCCAATTAAGAAAGTACATTAGAACATCAGCAATGTTTTTTGAGACACTCAATTCATGTGCACCAAAACCAAACTTTGTCCGCCAACTCCTCCAAGTAAAGAAATATTTTACTGATTGGAATGCTGAGGTGAGACAATCATCTGCATTTAGAAGGAATGGCTGCTCATTGCGTGACCATTATAAATCATTTATTACACATGAATCTTTCTCTGATATTGTACGAACTATCAATGGAACTATAGGGTTATTCTCATATTTACAACTTTACCATGAAAATGTTAATTTTGTTCCAAAATCCCTTTCCCAAGATGATGTTGAAAATTATTTTAGTTTACAAAGGGAACGCATTGCAGGATCCAAACCAACTGTAAACCAGTACTTTGAAACAAATACAACATTAGCTACTGATCAGTTATTGAGAGGAGAGTTCTCAGACATCAATGACACTGTAGGTTCATATAATGCACTGAACTTGCCTAATTTAGCCAAAGTTCCTCTCAAGAGAAGATCAAAAAATGGCAAGGATGAAACAGACCTTTTTCATAGCACTGCTAATTGGCAAGATGATTCTTTATCATATGAGAATATTGGCGATGGACAACTTCCCAGTGATTCTCCCCTCTTACTCTCTATGTCAGGTATGTCAGGCAGGGACCGCAAAGTTCTGAAAAAGCAATTTAAAGAAATTACAGCTTATATAGAACTAAATACTCCTCATGTTTTGATGACAGGTGCTCAGCGTCTTACAAACACACTGAAACAGGTCAGAAATTGGCCAAATGTACAACAATTTTTGGTTGAAATTGATTCAAACTTAAGAAATCAATTTTTCTGCACTGGTTTTTGGAAGCCTGATGTACTTTTATCAGCTCTAAATTTCTATCATAGTGATGTAAAAACAAGGCAAGCATGGTACAGGTTACTGAATGCATTGGAATACCCATCATTAGATTCAACTGATACTGCATTTGTATTTGGTCATGTCATCAAAAGGTTTCTCAAACAAAGATGTTTGTATTATATTCGGAAAGACAATCTTTGTCCCAGTGAAAACGATCATAGTGCAATTAGGCAATACTTGAAATCCTACAGCGGAAATGAGCCAAAATTAAATATTCCATCATCTAGTGATCAGTGCTTTAACTGTCGGAACTTTGGTCATTGGGCAAGACAATGTACAGCACCTATAAATCCAGAATGGCTAAAAAAGCAAACCTGTACCAGATGTCAGACGAAAGGTCACAATTATAAAACATGCCCTTTAAAGAAATCGAAAAATTCCCAAAAACAGAAAAAACACAATTTTTCCAAGGATTTTGAATCATATTCCAAGAAATCTGTAATAGGACTACTTGATGCATTGAAATCTAAAGTATTGGAATCCTTTTCGAGCTTCATTAAATACACTGGTAGCATCAAACAAGGGTCAAAAGCATGGCTAGACTTACGTAAGGGTAAAATCAATGGCAGCATGGCAGCCACCTGTCTTGGCATGCATGGATCAACTGCTCGTAAAGAATACTATAATTTAATCAAAGAATTTCACATTGACAACAGTACATGGAAAGAAATTGATTCAAACTCTGCTATGCGTTGGGGGAAAATTTGTGAGCGTTATGCAACTGTGACCTATCTCAATTATCTTGAAACACACTTCAAAAATGCAAAATTTCAAGAGGTAAGCACATACATACACACCAGTTCTGAGGGTAGGATATGGTTAGGGGTCACTCCTGATGGTCTCGTTACCTTGGAAGATGGAACAAAAATAGTGATAGAAATGAAATGCCCATGGAAAAATGGAAAACCATTCCCTTATTCAGAAATCCCTACTTACTACATACCCCAAGTTATGCTAGAAATGAAAGTAAGTGGCGCTAAAGAATGTCATTTTGTTGTCTGGACACCAGTCGGTACAAACATTTTCAAGATAGAATATAATGAAAATTACGTTAACCAACTCCTCATCTACTTGAGACAATTTCACATATCTTGCGTTTTACAAAATGAAATGCCAAATATCCCTGCTACTCTTCATCAACAATCAAAATTCTTAGCTCAATCTGCCCTTCTTTTGACAAGATGCGATTCATTGAGGGATAAAATTGATCCAGAAATCATCAAAATTGTACAGGGAGAGTATGATGTACCAAAAACAAAAAAGCAACGAAAACCTGCATACGTACCTAAAATATATCATACACATTATCAATCCTTTAGGTGGGGCTCAGATGGTGTAACCAACAGTTGTCACATTGACTCCATACTTGAAGGAACTCTAAATATCTTTGGCAGAAAATCTGAAATTATCAAAAGACTCATAGGACAAGTGCATTTCAGTAAACCCTTAGAAACAATGTTTAAATGTTTAGACTTTAAATTGCAAGGCAAGTTTCATGCAAGCAAGATGATCTTTTGGAATTGGTTGCTGTCAACATCGGATAATGCATCAGAATATTTTGGACTTGGACAAACCGGAAGTGTTGTTGCAGAGTGGTCAATATTTCATAGATTGTTAACTCCTGCTGAACAATCCCAATTGGCCTTACAATTCAAATTAGAAAAGCGTTGTCCAAGGGACCCATCTCACTTTGATTCCAGAATACGCAACACTGAAGCTCTCATTACAATATCTATGCATGACTTTGAATATGAACACATGTCTAAATTAGATGATGTTTCCATTGACCTGAGAAAAACCATTGAACAGAAGTGTTCTCATGAAATGAAGCTTTCACCTGATTATCGCTGCCTCTCTTGTCGTAGGGAAAATAATCTTGATATCATTCCCCATTGTAAAATTACAATACAAAACCAGCCTCTAATGTTTACTGTTTTATTTGACAATCAAAGCATCAGAGAAAATATGTTTGAAATGAAATTGCCATATTTTGTATATATTCGAAACAAAATGTATGCATTAACATCAATAATATATTATACCGGATCACACTTCTATGTTGAGGTATGTCCATTCATTAACCAAGAAAATAGTCTTAAATCTGGATGGTATTCTCATGATGGCATTAAATCAAATGGAAGGGCTAACTATACTGGCCAACATGCACAGTTTACCATTAAGAATAATCTTTACATGATGTGCTTTGAGATATTTGATGAATCTGTAAAACCAAATGTCATTGACACATTAATCCAGACTGAGCTTGAATACCACCAAACAACATTGAACATATCTGACACTAATGTCAAAATATCTAATATAAAAGCCTATATGAATATGAATGGTCTTAAATATCCATCTAACCAAACCCTTGCTGAACTTAAAGAGCTTTTCTGGCAGTCTTTTAATCAAACATCACAAAACAAGAAGCATCCACATTCTCCTGAAATGCAATTTGGACAGGGTTCAAAAAGGTTCAAGCAATGATTGATGAATGTAACCAATAGATGTATTTAAAAATATGAACATATGTGTAAGATGCTCCTTGTCTTCACATATTTTAATATTTGTATATTATGTACAAAAAATGTAAATATGTTCAGCAGCTTAGATGAGGATATACATTACTAAGTTTGTTTTAGGGTGATATAAATGACCAGAAGACAGCAGCTTAGATGAGGATATACATTACTAAGTTTGTTTTAGGGTGATATAAATGACCAGAAGACAGCAGCTTAGATGAGGATATACATTACTTAGTTTGTTTTAGGGTGATATAAATGACCAGAAGACAGCAGCTTAGATGAGGATATACATTACTAAGTTTGTTTTAGGGTGATATAAATGACCAGAAGACAGCAGCTTAGATGAGGATATACATTACAAAGTTTGTTTTAAGGTGATATAAATGACCAGAAGACAGCAGCTTAGATGAGGATATACATTACTAAGTTTGTTTTAGGGTGATATAAATGACCAGAAGACAGCAGCTTAGATGAGGATATACATTTCTTAGTTTGTTTGTGACCTAAGTCATTTTAGGTACTCATTATTTTATCTTAGCCACTTCTGAATAGTCGATTTTCTTCAATCATTTTTTCTTATTCCTTACAAACTTAAGTCATTTAGATAATCATTACTTCATCTTAACCACTTCTTAATAGTGGATTTTCTTCAATCATTTTGTCTTATTCCTTACAAACCTAAGTCATTTAGGTAATCATTACTTCATCTTAACCACTTCTTAATAGTGGATTTTCTTCAATAATTTCTTGCCTTAAAATAGTTGATTTCTTCAATTATTTCTTGCCTTATTCCTTACAAACCTAAGTCATTTAGGTTCTCAATAGTATATATAACATATAGGCCTATATGTTTGCCTGATTTTTTTCAATCATTTTGTCTTATTCCTTACAAACCTAGGTCATTTTGGTAATCATCACTTTATCTTAACCACTTCTTAATAGTGGATTTTCCTCAATAATTTTGTCTTATTTCTTACAAACCTATGTCATTTCGGTACCCATTACTTCATCTTAACCACTTCTAAATAGTGGATTTTCTTCAACATTTTGTCTTATTCCTTACAAACCTAAGTCATTTAGGTAATCATTACTTCATCTTAACCACTTCTTAATAGTGGATTTTCTTCAATTATTTCTTGCCTTATTCCTTACAAACCTAAGTCATTTAGGTAATCATTACTTCATCTTAACCACTTCTAAATAGTGGATTTTCTTCAATTATTTCTTGCCTTATTCCTTACAAACTTAAGTCATTTAGGTACTTATTATTTTATCTTAGCCACTTGTAACTAGTAGTATTTCTTCAATCATTTCTTGCCTTATTCATTACTTTTAATTTATCTTAGCCAGTTCTTAATAGTGGGTTATCTTAAATTCCAGTCTCTGGTCTTACTTCTTATCAACTTAAAGGAATCCAACACCTTGCAAAACTTCTTAACGGAGAGGAATAAGGGAAAATGCTTGCCGGATTCTGAATCTGTGTATTTTTTAATGATTTTTCACCGTCTTAGAATTTCAGAGATTTGCATTGTTTTCCAATTAGACAAATGAGTAAACATGAATAGCCCGAAATCTAACGGTGAGATTTTGTTTTAAAAAATCATGGATATCAAGGCTAAATATAGCTATACAATAAACATAAAAAAGCAATGCTTGGACTCTTCATATTCACACAAAAAATTAATTAGTAAATGAGGTTTGATATTTGTGAGAATAAGTTGTACGAGTCGCAATGCTCTACAAACACCAGACTACAGGGTGGATTAGGATCAATGACACACATAAAAATTGATTTAAAAACATTTCATGATAATTATCTCAAACAAAAGCAGTTAGCGAAGGATACATTTCATTACACTCAATAAATAGTTATCACTTTTGACTATATAGAGGATATCCTATGATTTATGAGTGATATGATTTTTATCCACGAATGGATATGATATCTGCACGAGTGAGCGTAGCGAGAGAGAGCAGATATCAATATCCATGAGTGGATTAAAATCATATCACGAGTAAATCATAGGATGTTCTTTTTATTCCATAGTTAAAGTCATCATCAGAATCGTCGGAAATTAAGTTATTTAATTCGAATTTCCAAACGATCCGGCGATGTTGACACTTAGCCTCGTTTTGAGTCTGAAGTAGCAAAAATCCATAAACCATCGCATACGACGTCGTATGTCATGGCTAAAAAACCGTATGTTATGGTTAAGTGAAAATTTGTCAAAAATATCATATTTTACCACTGATTACAAAAATACCGTTTTTATTTTCACATGTTATCCTATGAATATCATGCTAACTATGGAATAAATATACATATCTCATGGGAATGTATTTCCATCTGCTCAAGATATCATATTTTAGCTTCGAAAATCACAATCGTTGGATAATACATTTGTCTCAGAATGATAGGCCGCCTTGTAGCAATGTAGCTTTCACTTGAAGTGTACCCTTGAGAATAATGAACTTACTTTCAAATTGGTCTTGCTTTTGTGGTGTATGTGGCATTTTAGCAAATCTGCCACGCTCATTTCTTTCAAGAACCATCTTGTTCACATGTTACACTAGGCTATACGCGCATGTATAGACAGATGACATAGATATACATATAAATTATATATTGCACCTGTATTTACTTACATGGGAATATTCCCTTTGGAAAAATGCAAATGCATGAACATATATT